TATATATACTGTATTACTTTGATTATATTTAATTAAAAAATATTATTAAATTACACAATCAGATTACCTTGAACTTTCAGTTCATTTCCAAACAATATCTGTCCACATGTGGCCACAGCACAGTGGAAAGTCCCAGCATCAGTGGAGCTGATGTTCTTAAAGAACACACATCTGTTCTGGGAGTCAGGTTTCTTCTTACATTCATCGTGTCGTTTTCCTTCAGTATAGATCATGTCTGGATAAGACTTCTCTGATCTGGCTCTGAACCAGAACACTCTGAGACCTCCTGAGCACGTCTTCATTTTGGAACCAGAAAGAAGTGAACACTGTAGAGTGGCTGAGCCTCCTGGACCGTCTGGATCTGATGCTGCTGTCTGTTGGACAACAGTGTAGTTTGATGTCCTCTCAGTGAGTCCTACAACAAAAAGTACAGAATTGTGTAACATAATGTAATTATGGTATTGCATAATATATTAAAAAAATGAATATAGACAAAGACATATATTTTGTCTTGAATAATGTCAAAGAAACAACTCTAATTTACTGTATATAATATAATATATATGATTTTATTTGTGGCGGTCAGTGAATCGGTGCTTGGGGGTTGGCAATTTTTCTTTTTTTACAAAAACGTAGATATTTAATAATCCATTAAAATGCACCAAAATGCAGGAAATCACATATATTTTATTAAACTATTTTCTGGGAGAGGTAACCCAGACACCCCCCTGGTCCACCTGCTATTTGCATTCCAGCTTTGATCAGTTTAAAAATTAAGCCTTGTTATTTGGTATGACTACTGCTGTTATGCTTCTGTAAAGAGTTTTCTATGATAATTTGAAGTGGAAATACAATCATGTTCATTAAGTGAATAGGTAAAGTTTCAAAGTGGATTTTGATACTGTTAATTTTCTCAAAACTGTCTAATTTTGGAAGTTGAAATTTAAACATTTTGTTAATTAAGTGTGTCTTGAATGAAAAATACCCAGTTTAAAAGTATAAAAATTGTATTACCACTAATAAACAACAGCTCCTAAGTATTTGTTACACAAATATTTTCACTGCATTAAAGAGAAAAATTGAAGAAAACTATTTTATAAACTTGAAGATTATGAGGGGGTCCTTGAAACTTTTTCTCCCGTGTAAGGGGTCCCTGAACCCAAAAAGTCTGAGAACCCTTGATAAACTTACTCTGAAAGTTCAATTGGATGATTAAAACTGACAAACTTTGTTTTTTGCAAAAATATTTACAGATTTTATATTTATTTTACCAACTTTGTTGCAGGTAGACACAAAACACCTATATATTTAAACACCTTTATATTTATTTACATATAAACCAATGCAGACATGTTCCTGTTTTTAGTATTCTACATCACTTTACAATCCAGCTGTTTTTTTTTGTTTTTTTTATACTGTTTTCTTTCATTTATTCTTCTCAATTTATAAGCTTTCTTTTATTATTGTCTACAGTTGTCATCGCTCTTTGTTAAAACCAGATCTCTCTTGTATATGAGTCCCCGAGGCTCAATGGGACTAACCTGTATAAATAGAGTTTGAATGAATTTACTTTACCTTTTAATGACAAGTACATGCTATGCCAGATATTCTTGCTCCAGTCATTGAAAGCACAGTGATACATCCCTTCATCTTCTTGAACAGTTCTTACAATTGTCAGATTGCTGAATTTTTCCTCAAGCGTCACATTCAGTCTTGATGCAGAATATTCTGGTCCATATTTAGGTTTTGACAGTTTCCACAGTGACACAATTATCTTCAAAGTATCCCCAGCATTTTGCTTGTACCAGTGAATTTTAACTCTGCTGTCTTGATCTTCAGGCAGACGACATGTGAAAGTTGCAGGTTCACCAAGTTGAACTGTGAACACTGCGACTGACGTATCTGCATAATGGAAAATGTATAGCATGCTCTACAGTTTAATCAGTAAAGTTAATTAATCTACAGAGTAAAGACAACATAATAAATGATCATCAACAGTTGCATGCACCTAAAATGCATGAAAATAACTAGACAGCAACATTTCCTGAAGATATAACTTACATCCTTGCTGAAATAGGAGCAGAGTCACCAAGAAGCGAAACATCTTCCACTGTCTCCGCTGTCTAAGTTGGAACACATGCTTTTATTTCAGTGACAAGAAGGAGGGGTGTTGATTCAGAGCATCTGATTGGTTATTTAAAAATATATAATCGAAGCACATTTCCTGCCACACTAGTCCTTTCCCATTAAAGGCCCTCAAATCTTGATTTTCACTTTGAGACACAATTTTAAAGTAAGAAGACATTTAATAACAATTAATAATAATAATAATAATAATAATAATAATAATAATAATAATAACAATAATACAAAACTTCATTAATGATTTTGTTTTTCTGTCTTAGAAACAAAGAAAAATTATGGTAAACATTAGTCAGACTGTAGAGGACTCTGTGTCCAAGGATGGCGAATGTGTGAAAAACATCAGACAATATTGAAGTCAAATGTAACTTTAAAGAACACAATTCATGGTGAGTCTGGAAGATGACCCAAGGGTCAGGGGTCATAATTAGAAGAGTGCAGCTTCATGCTACATTCTACATTCAAGTGCATACATCCACCTCTCTAAGTTCTTTTCCACCTGTTCCTTGTTCTCACCACAGATCATGATGTCATCTGCAAACATCATAGTCCACATGGATTCCTGTATGTCCTCATCTGTTAGTCGGTCCATCACCAGAGCAAACAAGAAGGGGCTCAGAGCTGATCCTTGATACTGTCAAACTTGCATGTTTATTTTGGCAAAAGTATTTTACGCAAGATGCCCTGCCTAACACAACCCCCAAAATCTACAAGGGCTTGGCAAGAGCACAACAGATATGCTGGCTTGTGCTCCCAGTGACTGGTTTCTCCTTAGGACTGTAGAGGGACTGAGATGGTGTAGAGGTAGGGCAGCCGACTTGGGACCAGAAAATCACAGTTCGACTTCCAGCCATTTCCACATGTTGTGGTGTCCCTGAACAAGACACCCAATCCCCAATTGCTCCCATGGCACTCAATAGCCACCCACTGCTCCACCTGGATGTATCCCAGGTGTGCTGGGTTAAATGCAGATAATCAAATTCATCATTGAATGGAAACATACAATGACAACATATTACTTAATTGTTTCATTCATTCAACCTTTATTCATACAGGTTAGTCTCACTGAGCCACACGGACTCATTTGCAAGAGAGAGCTGTAAAGTAATTTAGCAAAAAAACAAACAAACAAAAAAAAACAGTACATGGCTATTTGAATTATCCAAATTACTTTTAACTGTATGTATATTATTTTGCAATGCAGAAATAAAAAAAAACAAAAAATGAATTGCATGACATGTATCGCAAACTATATACAGAGTTGCATGTTTGACCCCAATAAAATAAAAATATATTGCGTCTCTATTTCTATTGTGTTACACATTTCTGTAATTTTTGTTGTAGGAAATGAGTCTAGACAACAAACTACATTGTTGTTCAACAGACAGCAGTGTCAAATCCACACCATTCAGAAGGTACAGCCATTCTACAGTGTTCAGTTCTCTCTGTATCTAACAAAATTCAATTGCCGGCTAATTAAGAACAAGGATACCATGGTCCTTAAACCAGATACTGGTAGCTTTGGCACTGTGTGCAGGTGCCAAGTCCTGTTGGAAAATGAAATCTGCATCTCCATAAAGTTGGTCAGCAGCAGGAAGTGCTTTAAAACTTTCTGATAGATGGCTGTGTTGAACTTGGACTTCAGAAAACACAGTGGACCAACACCAGCAGATGACATGGCACCTCAAACCATCACTGATTATGGAAATTTGACACTGGACCTCAAGCAATGTGAATTCTGTGCCTCCTCTCTTCTTCCAGACTCTGGGACCTTGATTTCCAAAGGAAATGCAAAATTTACTTTCATCAGAGAACATGACTTTGGACCACTCCTTTTTGTCTTTAGCTCAGGCAAGACGCTTCTGATGCTGTTTCTTGTTCAAGAGTGGCTTGATACAAGGAATGTGACAGCTGAAACCCATGTCTTGCATACGTCTGTGCGTGGTGGTTCTTGAAGCACTGACACTAGCTGCAGTCCACTCTTTGTGAATCTCCCCCACATTTTAAAATGGGTTTTGTTTCACAATCCTCACCAGGGTGCGGTTACCACTAATGCATGGTCACTTTTTTTCTACCACATCTTTTCCTTTCCTTTGCCTCTCCATTAATGTGCTTGGACACAAAGCTCTGTAAACAGCCAGCCTCTTTAGCAATTACTTTTTGTGTTTTGCCCTCCTTGTGCAAGGTGTCAATGGTCGTCTTTTGGACAACTGTCAAGTCAGCAGTCTTCCCCATGGTTGTGTAGACTACAGACCTAGACTGAGAGACCATTTAAAGGCCTTTGCAGGTGTTTTGAGTTAATTAGCTGATGAGAGTGGGACCAGGTGGCTTCAATATTGAATCTTTTCACAATTTTCTGAGATACTGAATTTGGGTTTTTTATTAGTTGTCAGTTATAATCATTGTTACGCCCCCAGGTCTAGGGTATCATGGGGTGTAACAAAATGTGTCCAGAGGAAAAAAAAAGATGGAGTTGATTGATTTTTAAAAAGGGGTTTATTACAAAGAAAAAAATGTTCCACAGACAAATACTTGTTGACCCAACAAACTTGGACAGACAAAATATACTAAAGTGGGTCAAATGCTGTCTCAACAATTAACAAAAATAACCCAACAAGTTAGTCCAGTCCAGACTCAAAACAACCCAAACAAAGCAACATTAAATGTTCATCAAAAACTTTCCAAGTACAAATTTCTAAATTTGAAACAACCAGTTAAACTCAAAACCAAGATGCTAAACAGAGCAAAAAGGGATCAGGAGTACAAAATACTCTTAAGTTGCCCAATCAGTCCTCAAAAGGCTACAACAACCAAAGTGGGGGTCAACTGTACAAAACCTCTGCCTAAAGCTGCCCCCTTGAAGGAATGATTCCAGGAGCCTTTTATAGGGTGCAGGTGGACCTCATCGTCATCTGATTGGTGTGGCAATCTCCTGTTGGTCCAATGGTATTGCTGTTCTGCAGCCTCCTGGCAGCCAATTAGCTGAGTGTGCTCCCACACCTGAATCTGCATAAAAACAAAGAGACTGCACAGACTCAAGAGGCCAGGGGCCGTAACAATCATCAACATAAAAATAAATAAACATTTGAAATATATCTGTCTGTGTGTAATGAATGAATATAATATACATTTTTCCGGGGATCCTCCTCCAGAAAATTTGGAAATAAAGGGATGCTATTTCCTGCATTTTGGTGTATTTTAACAGGTTGTTAAACGTCTATAAACATTTCGATTAAATTGATTAAAAACCGGTCTCTCTTGTAAATGAGTCCTCGAGGCTCAATGAGACTAACAACCTGCATAAATAAAGGTTGACTTGAAATTACTATTTTAGAGACCAACAAAAATTAACAAGCCTGTGTGTGAATGCAGCTCCGATTCTGTCAAGTGTCCTAACCCCACTGTCTTTTCAACATTTTGATCGCTCTTATTTTGACAAATTAGTGCCGTTGTTTTGATACGTGATGTAACATATAATGCACATCAAACATTTCACTCGTATTTATTTATTTATTTTACTGTAAGCTTATTTATTATGTCTGAAATGTTATGCACCGCGGTAATTTATGTAGGAGTTCCAATACAGCAGTTGTCCGCGTGTCCTGCAGAGCTGTCTGGAGGCGCTGTGCGTAAAACAACTGTCTGCAGGGCGCACAGCTGAAGGTGGATTAAGACGCTCCTCGTGGACCTTGCAGTCCACGTCTCTGCTGGGCAGGAGCGTGTGCGCGAGCTGGTGCACGTAGTGCGGCCGGAACATCCACTCCACAGACTGGGCAACGTCTCCTCTCGTTGTATTTTTATTAAATAATCAAAATAAAAATGTGCGATGACTTTGGACATTTAGGGGCGGAGATTTGACTTACCAGATCCGAGTGGTCAAAATGAGAGAGTTCCCGCATCTTGTTCCTGCAGGATCTGGCTCAAAATAACCACTGGTGTCTTCCGCCTCTCGCACAATGGTAGCTGGAAATGAGCACCAGTGACCCCCGCAACCCACAAAGGAAGGAGCGGGTAAAGATAATGAATGGATGGATGAAATATTGTTTTCATGACCAATGAAACAGTGATGTTAGTCTTCACTATATTAGTAATGACATAAAAGTACATTATATCTATTATATAGGCATAAAAAAATCTGAACAATGGTTATAGCATTTTCTGATGAGTATCTACTACAGTGAAATTTTCACTTTGAGTATAGATAGTCAGTGTAACCTCAAATGGTAATAACATATTTTCACAAAGGGAGGAACAAGCCGAAGCCAAATAAGGCTAACGCCAGGTAGAGTTAGCAAACCCCAAAACGCACAGATGAAACGTAGAAGTTTATTAATAAGAAAAAGGTGCTGCTAACAAAATAAATGTGTTTCTGTACTAGTGCAGAAACACTATGAAAGCAAGATCTCCAGCAACCAGAAAATAGAAAACAGGAAGTGACAGAATACACATTTCAGTGAATGCCAACAGGTCAGTGCCCACTCCATATTAAAACCATAGAGCTTCAGGCAAGTTGAATCTGCAGCAGAAAGCGTTGACCTACCCAAATTTCAAGAAACTTCCATCCGTATTCCCTCTGCCTCACAGAGAAAAGTAACAGAACAGCAACTTATAATATCTTGTTGATAGTTTTATTGCTTCATTGCAAACATAGCTTGATAAAATAACACCCTTATAAAGGAATGCGATCAGTCAGAAGAAGCTGGCTCTTTTGTTTTTATTCAAAGTTGTGTACTTAAAAACAGGCATCTAGAAAGATGGAAAGACAATGGCACTCTCCTAACATGAGAAAGCTCTTCCTCATCTGCAGCACTCTGTTTATGGAAGTGAATATGGATGCATGCATGTATTGATTCTAAAGTTGTTGCATAATAAGAGTTGACAAAACTATTATCAACCAAGCTCTTTTCAACATTTTTTTATGTCTGATATTGTCTCTTCCAGCCTACTCTTGTGAAGATTTGCACTTCTGGAACAAAACAGATATACTGAAAGTAGAAACAAACTCAAATATTGATCACAGTTCTCTAGTATCAATACAATCCAACAAAAACATTAGCTCCTCAGTCATCCAGGAGATGGAAAGTCAAATATGAAAGTTGCACATGGGAAAGAGATTAATCAGATGTGGGCCACGTCACCTGCAGGGTGACAATAGACTTAGACCCCATTAAAATGTACTGGTCTATCAATGCAATCTGCTGCCTTCCTTAGATAAATAACATTACTAATTGATTTTTTTAATATATATTAATATTTTTGTGCAATGCCCCGAGACAACTTCTATTGTGACTTGGTGCTGTATAAATAAACTGAATTGATCTGAAATGAATTGGTCATGAACAAGAAACAAGATCCCAAATAGAAGCAAATGACATTAACTTATTTATTCTGGTCTCAGCCTTAAAAGAAAAGTGAGGAGTATTATTATTATTGTCAATAATTATAATTATACACATAATAATCCTGATGTTTTACAGCATCTCATAAGGTCAAAATTTGCTTTGAGGGGTAAGACTATCGTGACAGGAAATGAACTTAGAATATATGTTTTGAAATAACCTATCAGACCCTCTGAAAGAACACTCCTCCTTCTGTCACTGAAATATAAGCAAGTGTACCAACACAGATGGTGTAGACTGTGTAAAGATGATCATCTTCTGGATGACTCTGCTCCTTTTTCATCATGGATGTAAGTAAAATCTGTAAATATTATTGTCAAGTTTAAATATTTACACATTTGTTGAATTTGTGACAGTTGATGCTAATTTATTCTTAATTACCTACTATGTGGGTTATTTATCTCTACTGAATAAAGGGCATGTTATACTTTATCTTCAATGTACAGGTACGTTGGCTCCAGTGACCACAGTTCAACTTGGTGAACCTGCAACTTTTTCTTGTCCTTTACCCGATCTTAAAGACAGCAGTAGTACACTTCACTGGTACAAGCAACATGCAGGAGATTCTATAAAAGTTATTGTGTCACTGCAGAAGTATGCAAAACCTAAATATGGACCAGAATATTCAGCATCAAGAATGAATGTGATGCTTGAAGAAAGAATCAGCAATCTGACAATTTTTGTAACTGTTCAAGAAGATGAAGGGATGTATCACTGTGCTTTCCACGATTGGTACGAGAATATTTGGCGTAGCACCTATTTATCATTAAAAGGTAAATAAATTATTTAACTGTACTTGAAATATCAAAAGTTGTACAGTTAGCTTTTTTTTTTTTTTTTTTTACATATTTTGCTAAAATAAAATGTTTTTTAATTAGAGCAAATTACTTTCAGGTAATTTTTTTTTTTTTTTACTGTACATTCATGTTTGACATAAAAAAAAAACATGCCTATTTGTTTTAAGCATATTTTAATCAAATCTTGTTTTGTAACACATTTCTGTACTTTTTATTGTAGGACTCACTGAGAGGACATCAAACTACACTGTTGTCCAACAGACAGCAGCATCAGATTCAGACGGTCCAGGAGGCTCAGCCACTCTACAGTGTTCACTTCTTTCTGGTTCTGACATAAAGACGTGCTCAGGAGGTCTCAGAGTGTTCTGGTTCAGAGTCAGATCAGAGAAGTCTAATCCAGACATGATCTATACTGAAGGAAAACGACACGATGAATGTGAGAAGAAACCTGACTCCCAGAACAGATGCGTGTTCTTTAAGAACATCAGCTCCACCGATGCTGGGACTTTCTACTGTGCTGTGGCCACATGCGGACAGATATTATTTGGAAATAAACTGAAAGTTCAAGGTAATCTGATTGTGTATTTTAATAATAACTTAAAAAAAAATATTATCAAATTAATTTCAGATGAGATGAACTTCAATGAATGGTAAGCAAAACACAGTTTATAGCAGAATCAATGAACAAGTCTATTTTTCTTTTCATAGGGCAATCAGCAGAAACTAAATCTACTTCGCTGGTAATAATAATAATCAGCTTGGCCGTTTCTGTGATTGTAAATTTTGCTTTCATCTGTTACCAAAAACCATGCGCAACATGCAACGAATTAAAAAGTAAGTGTTGTTCAGTTTTTAATTTGAGTACATGGGAAATGTCTCTTGTTTGAATGGCTGAGAACATTAGGCTGGAGTTCATACTTTATTGAAAACAATTTTGCTCTTGATCTATTTATTTGAATATGTTTTATACAAATGTCCTGGAAAAAAAAAAGCTTTACAAAAATACGTTAATGTGATTTGTGATCCAAGGGGCATTTGTTCATCATGACAAGTTGGGCGGAATATAATACACAATTTCTGTTATTTCATGTTTCTCCTGAAGTTTTTGTATTTAAGAGTGCTAAATAATAACTTAAGTCAGCTGTGGATCTTTATTGAAAAGTCAGTATGAGAACATCTTTTTTTCCTTAATTTTCAGGAAAAGAGCGAACCACTTCACCAGCAAGACATGAAATCCCAGGCCAACTAAGAGATAACGTAATAAAAAATGCATGATCTCGCTATTTCTAATGAAAAGTCTTGATTTATGTTTTAATGATGGGAATATTATTTTCTGCACAGAATGAAGATGGACAGGATCTGAACTATGCTGCTTTACATTTCTCTGGACGGAAAAGTACACGAGAAAAGAAGAATCGAGAGTTGAAGACTAAAGACAGCGTCTACTCCCAGGTTAAAATCTAAACAGGAACACCTTTCAAAGCATCGGCCACAAACAGTAAAACGTGCTTTAGAGAGATTTGATTTGTTTTTCAAAATCACATCCAGTATGAATGGGATGTTCAGTAATTTTCTTATTTTTTTCTTTTATTTAATTGTGTAAATTCTATTGAGCGCACAGATCTGTGTTCGAGGGAGCTATGGACCTGGATGCAGCCTAAACATGCATGTTTCTGGATACTTCATCAGACTCATAGTGTTACGTGCTGCTTATATTCCTTTGTTTTTGAGAAAATTACCCCTTCTGATTCTATAAATAAGGGGAAACAAAGACGGAATTATGCTCATCTCAAACCTAAGACTGTAACTTCTCTTTTAAATAAAATAAAAATATAGTAAAAATAAAATGTTTTAGAAATTGTCGTTTCTGCCCACACATGCCATGGTTTTTGCCCCCGCGTGCCACAGCTCCTGTTTTTCCCTGACTCACCACACTTGATGTTTTGTTATTCTGCTTCATGCTCTGCTCCTGCCACCTCTCACCACGCCCGCACTGCTCCTCCACAATAATCAGCCCTAATTCCACACACCTATTCAGCACACTACTTAAGCTCCTTTCTTTCACTTCCTTGTTGCCAGATTATCAAATTCCTTGAGTTAGTAGATGTCCAGCGTTCATGCCATAGCCTTGTCTGTCTCTCCTGGTTTGACCCCACACCTGTCTTCTGGTTTCCTTGCTTTGCCACGCCTGTTCTGGATTCTGACATTTGACCACGGTATCAAACCATCTTATGATTATCATGACTATGCCTTTTGGATCATCCTCTGGATTTGGATTCTGCTCTCTGACTAATGGTTCTCGACCCAAGACTGCCTTTCTGGACTTTGCCCCTGGACAATCCCTAAACCAGTTCTCTTCCTTGCCGCTCTCTGCTTCTGCCTGCTCACAGCACTTGACGTCATCATCTGTGAACAACTACAGGATTACACCTCGCTCTCAGAATCAGAATCAACTTTATTGGCATTGTCGTCCGAAAGATGGGCGGAGTGCACAAATCTGCGGCTATAAGTAGTGCGGCCTTCTTATTCTTATTCAGAATAATATTTTACTTAGATGAGAAAAGGGAAGAAAACATGAGGAGAGATGGTATAAAAAAAGATCTCGCATGCCGTGTCCTAAACAGGGCACGATTTGAGGCATCAAAAAAACCTACCACAGCAAAGCAACATAAATAGATGTTATACATGTACATATAGGCGGTGAAGACATTGAATCTTTAAGGGAAAGCCGTAGCATAGTCCAGAGTCCCCCTTCTCAGCCATTGTCCAGATAAGAGGTGACATTCATCATCAGCTCGGTTGAGGCTCTGTCACATGTCCACAGCCTTGGGGAACGGAGGGGTGAGGAGACAGTCAAAGCATCTTTGTTGTTTTCAAAACATGCCAGGAGGAGTTGAGATAAGTCCGGCGACAAGGCCACAGTTTGGGTCAGGCAGAACTCGTGAATTGCAGTTTCTGCCTTTTTAAAGTCTCGCTGGTATATATTCCTCTGATGGAACTGCAAAATAGCCGAATTGATCCTTTACGCCAAAAGTCGAGCTCACAGCATTCTCCAGGATTATTCCCACCATTCATGAGTGCTGCCAGAAAGTTCACAGACCTGATAACAGCCTTCTCCAGCTCTCTGCTGCAGCTCCACAAATTCAGTCTGAGTGCTGTCGAGTTTCGACACATCCACACAAATTTATAGACCATCCAGAATTCACCAACCAAACAGCAAAAAAAAAAGTTGTCGTCATGAATCCAATTTGTTTCCGTCGAGGTAAGAAGGTCCTCCTTATGCCCTGACTCCTGTCAGGAGAAGTTGATCAATTTTGTTGAGAGACCAGCTGATCCTTCAAATTAAGAGGTATGCAGAAAAAAAAGAGGCTTTTTAAGGGTTCACGGGACAAAAGAGTGCTGACACAACAGTGAAAGGGACTAATGTCAGAAGTACACATATGCACAAATCCTGGTATAGTCTTAGCTATCTTTGATTAAAGCGTATCGTCCTCTCCCAATGTAGATAAGTAGGTGATGCATTTAAATAAGCTTCAATTTACACATCATGTAGGATTCCAGCTCTTCCTGCAGGTTTCTGAGTCCAGGGTGGTGCCAACAAGCAGCGGCTGGGAATCATTCCACTAATGAGCTCCAAGACTATAAGAAGCTGCAGAAGAGCTCCCCTCTCTGCTGGAGCATTACTTACTGGTATTTGTGCTATTGGCCTCCTTGTGCTAATTTTCAGAATTAAGTAATACTTACTTTGTGTTTTCCTTGCATTCTTATAGAACCTGTTTTCTGAGCCTCCAGTCCTGGGTTCCTTGCTGTATTCCATGAATCCTTGACTCCTGTACCTACCTGTGAGTTCTTATACCTCCTTGTGGAACTTCTTCAGCTGCTCTGCTGCCATCTAACCACTTTCCTCCGTGCTCTTCCTGTGCTCCTCAAACCTAGACCTGACCTACCTGAAATCATCTGCCCTCCTCAACCTTTCATCCACCTTCCTGTAAGAGGTCAACAGCCTGCATAATTTATTAGTTCATCCTCCCAGTTCCTGATTCTCCTCCTTCCTCCCCAGGTTTCCCAAGATTTCCAGTTTTGTAGTATAAATATAGATATTTATTCCTGCGCTGTAAATAAATCTCTATTATATTATTATATACAAGTTTGAGTCCTCAGTCCGTTCTCTCTGGGTAAAACACCACCATTGTGACACATCAAGGCACTAGATGTAGTCTGTTACTGAAGGGACAATAGAGCCCAAAACAATTTTTTTTGCCATCTTAAAACAATTAAACTAAAACTTTTCAGTTTCTGTAACTATTTAACAAACCTTACTTCTGCATTACACAATTTTCACAGAAGGCATTGTGTTACACTGAATACTGCGTTGACCTGTGGTCTGGTCTGTTGCAAGTAATGGTCTGTGTGAAACAAATTTAAATTAATTTTTGTTTATAAAGTTCCAATACACATCAATGCAGAGTACTATACAAAAAAGTCTAAATTATGAATCTATTATTTACAATCTATTAATTAATTCCTGTTATAATATATATATAT